TTTTAGTTAGTGCTTATTTTACATTAGTTAATGGTATAATACCATAGGCCTAATAGTACAAAGTTCCTGGGTCGTTAGTGACATGTGTCTGTATTCCATATTGTGTTCTTTAAGATTCCTTATTCATATGTCAGGACCTTGTATAGAAGTATGCTGGAATGTTGGATTCATACTTGCCTATATTATGTGATTGTACTACAACCAACTAGGCATTTAGCACTATTTTATCAAGATACATGAATTTTACTTTTCTGAAAATTATCAATTTATGTACTATAATGTAATTTTAGTACATCACCTTATACAAGAGTATGGTTAAATGTAAAACATTTTATTAGTTWATAATATGATATTATGCGTCTATTATTACGAAATAGGATTATTTTTGTATGTTTAGACACCAGCATTTCTCCTAGTATAATTTGAGTAGTGATACAAATGAAGTTATTTTGCMAAGTTCATTTTAATTCAAAATACTGATCTATACACACAAATAATAAAATAATGGAAATAATGGTAGATACTAAAAAACAATTCTARCATGTTAGATTATAAATTAAATTACATTTTTTTTTGTACTTCAGTAATAAATGTATAAATTATTTTTAACTAGTTTCTATTTATCAATTAAAYGATTGATAAACGACTTGAATTTTTTTACTATCTACCACCAAGTACTATGCACACAGAATATAACAATGTACTTTTTGTTCCAAATTTTATCTTAGTTMCTATTTAAATTTGTTCTAATGGTAATGTATCTTAAATCAGATTTCTTCAAAATTTCAGATAGTTTTCTCTTGAGTTTAACTTTCAATCACACACTTTAAATATTTTAATGTTTAAGTAGTTTACAGTGTTTACACAAGACTACAAGAGGGTAGAGGTATGATTATTGATCACTATGATTAATTATTATTAATTATTTTTATATTAATATATTATAATAATTAATAACAATTAACAATACATTATTTATTATTTTTTTGTTGGAAATTAATATATTTTCAATTTTGCATAGACATAATAATTTAATATTAATATTTATTAATATGTCAATGATATTTTGTTGCCAAAAGTTTGGTTGGACAAACTGTAAGTATACCAAAGTGGTAGCCACGGTATAGCCTAACATTTTGTGATAACGTTTTCGGACGCCAACGCCACGCTCTTTTTTTAGTTTTACTCACGTTTCTGAATTTTGTACGGTGGGACATTTCAGTTTCCGGTCTTACATCGTAACACAAGTGAGTACTTTTGATTTTTAACTGACTTCCAAGTTCCAGTGATTAAGCTTTGAACATAAAATATATGATTATTAGAAAAAATAAATTATGTACATAATATTTTTAGGACAGGAACCATGGACAAGCCAGTAGTGTTATCGCGCGTCTTGAAGGTTTTGGGCCGTACTGGTTCCCAGGGCCAATGTACCCAAGTCAAAGTAGAATTCATCGGCGAGCAAAACCGTCAAATCATCAGGAACGTCAAAGGACCCGTGCGCGAGGGTGATATTCTCACACTGCTCGAGTCTGAGAGAGAAGCTAGAAGGCTTCGATAGGATTATCCTGTAGGTATCCAAGACATATACAGCCATAAACGGRTTTTTATTATTTCAATATTTATAATTGTCTATGGTGTTTAGTGATTGTATCCAAATATAGTCGCGTTATTCAATGCATTAAATTTACACGCTGTGTTGGAGTTGCGTTTATTATGTTTGCTRTCCTTTGGTAGCCACATCAAATTTAATAGTACTTAATTTAATGTATTCTGTGACTGCTATTTTTCACTGATAATGACCAAATAATTGATTTAATTTAGTTCACTATATTTTTTTTTCATTGCATATCAAACMACTGTAAATTCTTCAAAAAATCTCATTTATTTTTGTGATAATAAATAATTATCATTATAATTAGTGCCTACTAAGTACTTTTACTGCCCCAAAACGTGATGACAGACAAAAAAATAAAAATAAAACACATCATGGTAAAATCAATACATTCATTGCTCCGCTCAGAATCTAAAACTTTCGCTAATATGATTTAATATTAAAGCTAACAGCACTCTATTGAAACTGATAAACAAACAATTAGCTATATTGTACGTGTGCTAGACGGAGTCAATAATTTGGGTGTGATGTCCACCTAACACTTTTACATTAAGCTCGTTTCACAGGGGCATGCAATGCACTCGATATATTGTGCGCTTGCATGTTTAGTTAACATAGGTTAAGTTSATATGTGTCATACTAGCCAAGAAAAGTGTTATCGTCAGAGTGACGTGCAAGCATTTAACTAATGTAACTGAAAACGCGTGCGTGTGATACGCGTCCTTGTGAAACTGYCCTAAGAATTGTAATAATTAAGTATAATACATAAATAAATATAATCAGAAAGTTTTCTTAATTTAATTATTTTGAATTATATATTTGAAGCTTGTTTAATTATATATTCCAAATATTTTATTAAAAATAACATATTAACCTTACACAACTTATCAATAGGTTRGAAATATTTAATTGGCTACTGAATATCAATGCTTACAAATTGTTTCTAAGAGACAATAAGAAGGAATGTGTTTAAAATTCTGGTCACAGTGTCAATAGCTTTCATGGTACTACCATTGATTATAAATACTAAAGATCGCTCACTGC